TGTTTATTGCAAAGAAGATTCCGGTGAGATTATTACTGCCCCTAATGGAAGTGAGGAGGATATTATTGATGAGGTAGACAATATTAGCAACCTAGAGGATATTGAAGTTGATGTCCCTGATGAAAAGATTTTTTCAGTCAAAGTAAGATGCTTACAAAATTTTCCTATTCGTTAATCTTGTGTATCCGGCTATATTGTTGTTGGCATCTTACACTATAGTGATGCTTTTATCTGTGTGAAGGACAAACTGATGCTTTTGCTAGGATAATCAAAACAATATTGTTGGTTTTTGTGATAGTGTAAAATTTGTTAAAATTTTAATCCTAACCTATCTAATTCAAGTTCACAGGTTGTATCATATATTTGAAGTGATTTGATTTTATTCAGTTCAATTAGGGAGGAAATTAATACATGGATGGAAGTCAAATGTAGATTAAAGTATTCAAGTGAAAGTAAATGGGAAGATATTTAGTGAAAAGAAATCAGAGATTGATAATGAAGGCTAATAGCTTAATGAAAAATTCCAGATGTATAAGCAATAAAAGTTTGTGATGTATATGCTCTGTGGCTTCCTGGCTTACAGACAACATTACTGAAGTCTTGAAACTTAAGTCCTTGTTTGTACAGATCCTTTGTTGCTTAGATACATTCTAGCATTTGTACATTGCTTATTTGCACTTCACCATGACAATGCTAGTTTATTGCTTTGGCACTTTATGCTAATAATACTGCTGATCAGGCTGTAGATGAGGAAGATTTGCTCAAACAAAAGTATACAATCGATGATGTTGTCCTTCCATTGCCCGGGTGAGTTATACTATTGATGCTGGTTAATTGCATTGGTATGGTGCTAGATTATGATATGTTCCCTGTTAACACAAATATTGTGACAGTTCAAGGGTTATGTATCCAGCAAATGCTGTTGCTGATGTCTATCATGACCTGGCTAAGAAGGTACTTCTACTCAATTGAATATCTGTAGCATGGTGTTAACATGGATATGATTGTTATAAATGAAATTTATATGGTGATTGAGAGTGATATGAGTGCTTTGGGGATCGAGGAAAATATGGTATTGGATAGGGCGGTGTAGAGGGAGAAAATCCACGTCAACAACATGTCATGATTATACATATCTTTGTTTATATTCTATCGTAGTATTTACTTTTATTATTATATTCAATATCGGATTTTATGAACTGTATTGGTTTCCTTTGCTAAAGTTTTCTCAAACTTTTATGTTTTAAACTCACACGTTTTACCACTCCTTTAGAACTTTCTTGAATTATATCTCGGTTCTCGTTTAAAACTCTCTTATTTTTTACTTCAATGCTCTTTCTTTTTCTCACTTTACACACCTTTTTCAAGCTCTTTCAACTGATTATCTTGTTATGTCCCCTTTTTCTATATTGGATGGTTCCTTATAACGATTCATGTTAGCCGACCCCAAATCATTTGGGGACTAAGGCTTAGTTTAAAATGAGAAAGATCGATTAATTTCATATTTGCTAGTTTTTTATTTGACTTTTCGATTACTAAATTAATATAACTTTCATAAAAAAAAATTAAAAAAAAAAAAATAATAATTAAAAAATCATGAGACAGACAAAAGCATGTCAAAGTTGCCACTTGTATCAGATGAGACCTTGCTAATATACATTAATCTGTTCTGTTATCCTGGCACTTTGTCAATGTTAAACTGAAAGGTCTTGTCTGAGACTGAGGGAGGGATGCCTGTTTACCAGGGTTATGTCTGGCAAGATTTCCCAATTATTTCAATGTAAATACTACCTCGTTACATATTATTTGCAACGATTAGACATTTTCCCTCTCTAATTTATGTCAAATCGTTGCAAATAATGTGTAACGGAGGTAGTATACACTTATTCAAACAATAAAAAGGAGCTGGTCACTCATAAAATGGCAAGCCTTGTCCAGAGTGGGTTATAATGCAAGAGGAAGTTAATATTTGATGACTCTTATGTAATTTCTATCTACTTGCCATAATTTGGGTTGGGTAGGTGAATTGTTTTCCTGTCTTCAGCTCGCTTTTGTTAGTGTGATAAACAGTGTCATATGCTGCTCAAGTAGAAATATCCCAACTAAAATTCTGGGTGTTTTGAAGTTTAAAGTCTTGAAACAGTGACCTGTTTCTGCTTTTGTCCTGACACTGGAAAATTCTTCCATCTAGGCTAGTAATAATTTATTTATTTTAATGTATTTATCTTGGGTTAAGTGCTATTTCTCCCCTTAGAAAAAAGAAACAAAGGATAACTCAATATCTTTCAAAACTATATGAGGAAAGACTTTGTAACCACTTGTAATCAAACTGACCTTGTAAGTACTAAGATAACCTTTCAGTGGCCTTCCAGGGTTCTCATTACCAACCTGACTACCATCCCAGCAATGAAGCAACAAATTGCATCTTTGTTCATTTGTGCTTGTGACTGTTGAACAGCTAAAGGCAAAATGTAATCTATGATCCAGTTCCTGGAAATGAGTGAGTGAAGAAAGTCAATAGGACTCGTGATTTTCTTGTGGAGAGAAAGAGAGAGGGGGGGGGGGGGGAGGGGGGATCTTGGTGGTTCTCACTTTCTGTCTGGATCAGTTTTTGAAACCTTTGGTCGTTTGGTTACTAAACGAGGCAGATGTCCTTTCATGCTGGCTTTTATGTGTTTACTTTGGCTTTCTGTAGCTTTGAGTTTTTAACAATCATTGGACATAGTTCTGTCTTTCCCCACTTTTTATTAATGTCATTTTTGGGTGTTTGTCAGGATAATATCAGCTTGACGGAGAGTGTACACAATGTCAAGTATGTTATTCAGCGATCATAAAATAAATCTTCCTACTTGTGCCACACATTCAATATGGCATGCATCTAATGACCTTCTTCTGCTTTTCAGAGAATTCTCAATAACAAGTATGACTGGAGCTTATAGACGTGTTTTCCAGAAACCAATTGATTTTGAGTGGTACTCCTTTATTCATGTTTATTTATTTTTATTTTTTTATCTTTACCTGTACTTTTGTTAAGTTATTAGTTGCAGAAATGATATCTGTATGAAGATTTCACAATTCACATTGTCATTTTTCAGGGAAGTACTCAAGTATACAGATGCTAGTACACCTTTGGCAGAAACAGATTTGGACATTCTTGCCAAGACTGAACCTGCAATTAAGTATCAAAAGGTGGATAAAACCAATGGAAGCAATTCCTGTAATGCACCAGACAAATGTAAAGACGGAACTCCAGATAACACTGAGTCAGATGGTCCAAATCAGGCCACACAGACAGCTCTCAAGCTCAGTTTTACCCTCCCATCATCTTGCTACGCAACAATGGCTATAAGGGAGCTCCTCAAAACATCAACATCTGTACGTAGTTCAATCTTTGTGATATCATTCTGAAGGATTCTCCTTTATTACTTGCTCATTTATTGCTACTCTGTTGGGCTGTGTTGGTTTACGGAGGTCAATGAATTTCTTAGTAGAGATTTTGTCAATCCCTATTAATAGATTGCTGGCATCTTACTTGACTACAATCATTCAACTACAGGTTGCATTTCATAAAACATTGAACGACCAAGTGTAGCTGCTTGAAGCAACACATTATATCTGATGCAATTATACGAGGTGAAATATACGCAGCAGGTATATTTTCTTGATTGCTACCGTGTTCTATGCTGATTTTATGATGTTATTAACATGAAAATAAAAATGTCTGGAATTACTTTCCAATGCACAATCTATAGTTGTCTAGTTGATATTGATAAATATCACGCACCATTGAACAATAGCAGTATACTTTTTTTTTTGTTTTTTTTTTTTAAATATGCTTATGTTATTACGTTTGTTGTAATGTAATTGTAGCATGTATATCTTGATTTTACAGAGCTGGACTGTCAGCTGAGATATGAATGTTTCTTCAGTCTTCATTGCCCCGAGACTGTACTAAATACTTTCCAAAAGGATGGTACAGGTGTTTAACGTAATAGGGCATGGTATAGGACAATAGGACATCCCAAGGATTCATAAGAATACACCAGAATACCAGACATGCCATGGGAATGAATCATACATGTTCTCCTACCCCATGTAATAACAATATTACTGGGAAGTTTATGTAATTTGTGTAACATGTTCAGGCATAGAATCAAGTTCATTTTTCTATGTAGTTTATGATCTTATGCTTAACTGTGTATGCTAACAATATAATGTTACAACTGATGAAAAAAATAAAAAAATATTACCATTCACGTCAATATTTGCAATTTTTTTTCTTGTATCATCAAAGCTGTAGCATGTCCTGATTTTAAAGCATGTGTTGAGGTTTCTTTGCATAAATATACAAGCAATTCACTACTTTCATTTGAGAAATATGTTCAATATTTGAATACAGATTTAGAATACTACCTCCGGTCCAAATTACTCGCAACTTTGGGGTATTATTTGTGAGATATAAAATATTCCAAAACTGTGAATAATTTGAACCGGAGGTAGTATACAGATACAGAGTAATACAAATGCTGTATAATGCAGGCCTCTTAGATTTGTGGTGCGCGATTTCATGGGATGTGGGCAGTGGTTATGATTGATTTGATCGTGAAAGTGTTGTTTTTTTTCAGGTTCATATTGTTTTTTTTTTCAACTTGAATATGTAAATTGTAAATTGTGTTGATTGACGCACACCAAAATTGTGATTCATATACAGCAATAGTCAATAAGACGCAAAGCGTTTCATATCTACATTGTTTAATCGCAGGGTTGTTAAGGAAACAACAAACAAACTACGCATTAAAGTGACAAATCAGAAAATTTAGGTCAAAATCGTGATTATGATCATATAATTTGCACAAATTACGTCCTCGTGAAAATCAGAGAACAACAAATTGATCAATTAGCTAAATAAAAGAAATTGATATAAAACCAGTTAAAAAAATAATTAATATCCAAATATTAGCAATGTCATCAAATTAAAAAATTGTGTCTAATCCAAAATTTCAGATGGGCAGATTAGGCGCAAATCTTTTCAACAATGGCTTTCCATAAACAACAGCACCAACAGCAATACCACCAACAACACCACCGATCAAGCCAGACCGGAAACCCGATACGACACGATAAACCGCTCCGGTACCGACACCCGCCAACACACTAGCACGAGCATCATCAACATCCAAATTATGAATAATAGTAGATTCCATTCCAGCATACAACAAACCCAAAACACCAGTTGCATTACCAAAAGTTCTACCCTTCAAACCACCCATGTTGAGCACACGGTTGCTTCGGATTTTGAGGGACTCTCCGTATCGAGCTGCGGAGAGTCCCTCAAAAGAACCCTTAACGGAGCCGACTACGGCACCGGTAACGTAGGAAGTGCCAGTGTAGAAGGTGAGGTTTTCGAAGGCGTTACGATGAGTTCGTGACGCTTGTTCTTCGAAGAGGTGTTCGGGGGCGGTAGGAAGATTGTAGAGCTTAAGGTGAGGGGAGTTTGGAGCAAGGTCTTGATATGGAGAGTATTTTTTGTATTTTGGGGTTGAGTTTTGGGAGAAATCGTCGTCCATTGTTGATCACTTTTTTTTTGGGAGGGTTTTAGGGTGATGTATGTATGATGTTGGTTGAAAAGGGTTTTTGAGTTTGTGGGGTTTGGAATTTATGGGGGATTTGCGATGACTTCTTTCCCAAGTCGATTCTAATTAGGATTTTTATTTCTTTCAAAAAAAAAAGAAAGTAGAAATTAAGTAGGAATAGTTTTAGAGGAATAAAAAGAAGACTACCTAATGGCTATTATAGTCCTAATTATAATCAGCTCGTCTTGTGTGCGGCCGGCCACATCGTGTGACCACTTAAAGTAACCCCTATAACATTGATTAAGTAACCCATGTAATACCAATCAAGTAACCCCTATAACACCGACCGAGTAACTCTATAACAATGATGAAATAACCCCTATAACACTGATCAAGTAACCCCCATTACACTAGCAAAGTAACCCCTATAGTGGCTGACCACACGGTGTGACCAACTACGTATAAGACTTTGTGAATTATAATTGTTTTGGATTTAAACTTTCTATTTTCAAAAGGAAACGATCTTATCTATTATTCATTTATTAACTAGAAAAATATTATTAAAAAAATATTACGATGTACTTTATATTGAAATTATTATTTTTTAAAACTAAATTAAATATATTGTACATGAATCTTATTTAGAAGAACTTTTTGAAACGAATTTTATTATAGAAATAAAATCGAGTTATATGATATTTATTAAAAGTTATTATTAATTTTGTACATATAAAATATTAGAAGTATAGGATAATAAAATTAACTCTATATAACATTTTTATATTAAAAATTCTATCCAAAATTCGCTTATTTAGCATCATATGTGTCGTAATAATATCTATTTGTTGCCTATATGGCGCCGACACTTGGCGAAAACTGGAATGCTAAGTGTTGTTGTCTCGTGGTCTGGCTGCGAGATCGGCTTTATATATATACTAGTTTTGTGCCCGTGCGATGCCCGGGTCGTTCATTGAATATTCAGATAAATTTTTAAAATACATTTCAAATTTTAAAATGCATCATTGATACAAAATTAGCTAGGAATTCAAGTGTTTTTGACAATTTAAACTATGTAGTAGACATGTAATGACTAATAATAATAATATTGGTGAAAATGTTGAGCAATACCCAGTCAATTCCCCAGATAAACAAAATTGTCTTTTCAAGTACCAGTGGAAAGGTATATGCGTCTTTTCATGTACTAGTTGACGGGTACATGCGTAATTTCCTCACCAAACAGTAAAAGCAAAAGGCAAACAATAATTGGACAGCTTATCAAAAATACTGAATAAATGACCCTGCTTTTTCAATATATTTACAAAAATGCCATCAAATTAACAAAAATTCGTTTATCTGGCAGATTAACTTGTATTTTCCCGAAAATGTTCGATTAAATATATTTTTAAATAATAGAAAAATAAGCATGAAACATACGAATATTGTAAAAATTAGCAAAAATAGATTAAATAAAAAAAATTGTTCTAAGTCCAATGGGTTGACCCGAACCCAAAACCTTGGGCTAAGGTTGAACATTTCTTGACCCGTAACCTGAAATGACCTTGTCCGAAATGACTCGAGACCTGACCCGATTGACAGGTCTACACACAATAATAAAATTATATTAGATTGTGAAATATATTATTTTAATTGATTAAAATATATTATAAATGGATGTGGTACATTTTGAACTACTTCCTAAAAATATTATGATACAAAAAATAAATTTATATGATAATTTATGAGAGTTATAATCTAATTATTTTTTGAATAAAATTATAATTCAATTTGTATATATGAAATTTTGATACTTTATCGAAAATAAATCTCTAAACTAACAATTTTATCGTAAAAATCTATCAAAATTTGATTGAAAATAGGACTAACTTTTTTATCCTACAAATTGAAATCTATATAACTCTATCCTACGTGGCGCGACACTTGGCGAGTATATATATATATATATATATTTTTAAAGACAGACCGGCTTTACTTTATATATTAGTGATATGATATGATTAGGTTTTTATATTTTCACCTTATTTTTGCTAAATTGATTTTTTTTAATTGAATTGAAATTATTTTTCATTTAATATATTTTTTTGGGTTTTTCTACACAATAGCTATCCTTATTTTTCTTTTACGTTGTGCCCTCCATATAGCATTTTTCACACAGTAACCTGGAGGTATATGTACTAAGTATACAGACATATGATAACCTTATTGTTATCCCGCCGTTAACAAATTTCGTTAGTGGGACCGACTCTCCACTTATTAATAATTTTTATCTATTTGCGTGTTGGAAAATGTTTCATTAATGGATTTTGGGGCTATTTTGGATCTTAAGAGTCCAAATAGATCTCAAAATTTTTAAAAAGAATAACGTAAATGTCTCGTTTTGCGTATTAAAAACATAAACATGCAAATCGAGATTTTTTTTATGTATAATATGGTTTCTTCAGTCTAGTATTTGGGCTCAGACAATACCCCGGGTCATTACATGGAAGTAATATTATGATATTACATTTTAATTAATAACCCAATAGTTTTTGTAATTAAATTTGTTATTCATATTTTTTTCAAAAAATTTTGGTTATTCATATTGTCATTCGCTACACATTAATATTTTGCATCAAAAAATAACATAAAGTATGACATAGCTTGGTGTTAGGGGTGTTCACAAACTGGTCCGAACCTGAAAAACCGACCTGAAGCGGACTTGTTTGGACCGGATAGAAACTATACCGGTGAATTCATGTCCGATCTCGATCCTTAAAAATCCAGGATTCCAGGTTTCAGGTCCGTTTCGGGGAAAATCCAAAATTTTCAGGTCCGAATTTAAAACCGATAAAGCTGCTTTTTTAATTTAACATGTCAATAAATAGGTCAGCAGGTTTTTTATTCAAAAAAGAAAAAGAAAAAAAAAACTAATTAGCTCTATCCAGGTCCAAACCCGGACCGGACTTGATTTTTTAGGTCTAGACCGGAACCACGGTCCCCGGTCCTTAAAAATCAATAATTCAGGTCCGGGTTCGTTCATACAATTAGGTTGCAAGTTCGAATTTCATGAGTAACATTTTTATTATAAATTAATGACATTTGACATGTAATGGAAAACACATAGAGGAGAGCACCACGTGACATGTATACTATGTTTGGAATAATCGGTGGTTCCTGCAAGCGGATGCACGATCCGCATGGTGCATCCGCCGCAAAACGACACTCATTTGTAAATAAAACGCAGGTCCTGTCACTAGTAGAAAAAACATTATGGGAAGCGGTTCAAAACCCCAAATGGGAAGCGGTTTTGAACCGCATGGGTTTGGGGGGCTTCCCAATTGCCATGTAAATGGCCAGCGGTTCACAACCACTTCCCATTTGGGGGGAATGGCAAGCGGTTTGGCGCCAAAACCGCTGGCCATTTGCACTTCACATAACCTTATGTGCAGTGCAAATGGGAAGCGGTTTTGGCGCCAAACCGCTTCCCATTTGTAGTTTTATTTTTTTATTTTTTATTATTTTTATATATATAATAATTAATAATAATAATATTATTAGTGACCTGTTTTTAGAAGCACATTATTCCAGTTTTTTAAAAATTATTATTATTAATAATATTATTATTAATTAATAATATTAATTAATATTAATAAATAATAATTAATTAAAAATATTACAAATTTTGGAATAATAATAATTCAATAACAATAACATGCATAATAATAATAACATATATAAAACTCATAAATAATGTATAGTAATAATTACAAATAAGTAATATAATGTACATATGGATTTACGTACTATATATAAAAATAAAAAAGATACGGTAACATAAAACTAAATATAAATATTTATTGTTCATAAAAAAAAACAAAATAAAAATCAATCTAACAAACACATATATATTATATATTCTACCTAGATGCCATCAAATGTCACAAAAAAAGCCCACATGTCGCGAATTTCATCAACCTCTTCCTTTGTCAAAGGGCCTTCCCTTTTACATACCTTTGAAAACAAAAAAATACCAAACATTAGACATCATTCATATATATTACATAAAATTCAAACTAATAATTAAAAATAATAATGTATATATGTTAAATATTTCATACATCATTCTAACTTGCCCGATTTAGCATTCAACTAAGTTTTAGGATGGCTTTTACCCAAAATCGCCTATTTCACTACTACTTTGCCCGGTTTCTACATTTCTTATCTAATGAGCTATTTCTTTATCATAACATGTCAATTACAACTAGTCTTAGGTGTCTAATGTTTGAAATCATTGCAAATTAGCATTATACTTTAGTTTTAGGACGACTTTTACCCGAAATCGCCTATTTCACTACTACTTTGCCCGTTTTCTACATTTTTTATCTAATGAGCTATTTATTTATCATAACATGTCAATTACAACTAGTCTTTGGTGTCCAATGTTTGAAATCATAGCAAATTAGCATTATTCTAAGTTTTAGGACGGCTTTTACCCGAAATCGCCTATTTCACTACTACTTTGCCCGTTTTCTACATTTGTTATCTAATGAGTTATTTATCTATCATAACATGTCCATTACAACTAGTCTTTGGTGTCCGATATTTGAAATCATAGAAAATTAGCATTATTCTAAGTTTTAGGACGACTTTTACCCGAAATCGCCTATTTCACTACTACTTTGCTCGTTTTCTATATTTCTTATCTAATGAGCTATTTATCTATCATAACATGTCAATTAAAACTAGTCTTTGGTGTCCAATGTTTGAAATCATAGCAAATTAGCATTATTCTAAGTTTTAGGACGGCTTTTAACCAAAATCGCCTATTTCACTACTACTTTGCCCGTTTTCTACATTTCTTATCTAATGAGCTATTTATCTATCATAACATGTCAATTACAACTAGTCTTTGGTGTCTAATGTTTGAAATCAGAGCAAAAGATCATTTTACTCAGTTTTAGGACGACATTTACCCAAAATCGCCTTTTCCACTTCTACTTGCCCTTTTTTTATATTTTATTCCGTTTTGAATTATTTTTCACAAACATTGTCCATAATACACTAACAATGCAAGTACGCAAAAATTACACAAAGTTGCATGAACGACTCGGTTTCACGACCGGATCGATGCTTCCTGTGCAGCTGCCTGGTGGCTGCTGCAGCTGCCTTGGAAGCTGCCTGTGCAGCTCCTAGGCTGCTGCTGCAGCTGCCTAGGCTGCTGCTGGTGCCTGGGCAGCTGCACAGGCTGCTGCTGCGGCTGCCTGGCAGCTGTTGCAGTTTGGTGGCTGGCTGCTTGCAACTGCCTAGCATAACCCGAGGTTGTTGCCTCGGGTGCTCACTTTCCCAATTTCTTCATTTCTTACCTAATGAGCAGTTTCTTTATTATAACATGTCAATTATAACTAGTCTTAGGTGTCTAATGTTTGAAATCATTGCAAATTAGCATTATACTTAGTTTTAGGACGACTTTTACCCGAAATCGCCTATTTCACTACTACGTTGCCCGATTTCTACATTTCTTATGTAATGATCAATTTATTTATTATAACATGTCAATTATAACTAGTCTTAGGTGTCTAATGTTTGAAATCATAGCAAATTAGCATTATACTTAGTTTTAGGACGACTTTTACCCGAAATCGCCTATTTCACTACTACGTTGCCCGATTTCTACATTTCTTATCTAATGAGCAATTTATTTATCATAACATGTCAATTATAACTAGTCTTAGGTGTCTAATGTTTGAAATCATAGCAAATTTGCATTATACTTAGTTTTAGGATGGCTTTTACCCGAAATCGCCTATTTCACTACTACGTTGCCCGATTTCTACATTTCTTATCTAATGAGCAATTTCTTTATCATAACATGTCAATTATAACTATTCTTAGGTATCTAATGTTTGAAATCATAGTAAATTAGCATTATACTTAGTTTTAGGACGGCTTTTACCCGAAATCAAACCGGAAAAAGTAAAAACAAGTACCTCCTCAATGTGTTGGGCTTCAGTGCACCTATTGACTATGTCATTCATAAACCTCATCACGTAGAGGGCACAGTCAACGTTGTTGTCTTGTTGCGCACACTAAACTGACACAATGTTAAAATAGTCATGCATAGCCAAAACTCAAGGCAATTTTTAAAAAAAATCAATATATCGAGGCTTTACCTTCGCATATTTCCACGTGGGACCCGCAACCGAACGACAATTCAACTTCTTCATAACACTTCAAAAAAATAAAAAACAAACGATTTAGGAACATAGTCACTCAATCACTTAAGTGAAGATACAAAACAATATATAGGAAGCGGTATGTACCTATTCAATAGGTTATTCACTAGCAACTTCCTTGGTGGCCATATACGAGCCGAGTCAAAGTAGTAGATTGTGTTATTGGAAACACAAATCACCATAAGGCTCCAATGTAGACTACATGTATATTAAAGCAAATATCATATCAATCAATTGTTATGCGTCAACATCTATACTTAACAAACAAACTAAGAGTGATATATTTACACTTACTCCTCAAAACAAGGGGCTAATAAGAACTTGTTTCCCGCACGCATTGATTCTCTAATAGCCCGCTCAAGGTAATCTATCACATCACGAGGGTTATTCAAGCATTTGGTTACGGAGGTCTGCTCGGGGCATAACCACCCAATTGCTGCTTCACCATCGGGTTTACTAGCAAGGAGCTCCTGTAGTGACCTTCAAGAAAGTAATGTGTGCAAGTAATTACTAGTTGCATTGTTTTGGTATGAAAATATCAAAAATACAATATTTTTAGAAATAGTCTCGTTAATTTACCTCATGAATGTTTGAATGATGGATATGTTAAGCATGGAACCGGTTATAAATTCTGTCACATCCTCTCTAGAAATGTATGCGATCGCATCCTCATCATAGTGGAACAATGCCTTAGGCAAGTTCACTTGAATATGTGTACTCGTAGGCAACTCACTAACACGGTTGTGAAGAAAAGTACATGCTTTCGAAAGCGACCTAAGGACTTTGGCTTCTACTAGTGGAGTAGATGAAGCTCTCGAACTCTTCTTCGACACTTGTCCTTGTTCCATCTTCGGAGGACCTTCTTCCTTGGATTTTTGCTTCTCCACCTTCTTTCTTTTAGCGGACTGAATTTCCATAGTAATCTACTGCATAAACAAACATGGTCATTGCACAAAGCACATGTTAATCTAGTTACATACAAGTATTGTTTACTTACCCCTCCTACTAACCTCAACCGATCACGTGGCCATTGCACAAAGCTCCCGGTCGCGTCACGCAGCTTAAAAAAATCATATTCCTCTCTAGGCACCGGTAGTGGTAAGTCCTCAAACCCAGCAACTATAGAATCGATCCCGACCGAGATGTAATGGGTGCTAGTATTAGACTTAAAATGCACCTTGTCAAAAGGTTGTGCACTACCATACCCCACCAACTGCAACTGTCCACCGGTTGTTTCCCTGGGGTGAAGAAGCTCACAAGGCGTCTCTTCCTACATATTTGGTTAGGAGTTAGGACATAAATTAAGAAATAATAAACGAAAGCCTAACATAAGAAAATCTGATTAGGTAGTGAAGTTCACCTTAACATCTAGGAAAGGTTCAGGCATCGGATTTGCTCTCTTCAGTGTCTCTGCATCCGTAGGACTTGGATCCTGCAAAAGTAAAATAATTAAACATACAAACGACCTCATTAGACGAACTTCATATGACGTAATTCGTCCTAGTACTAAAATTACCTCTCTCTCAACTACTGGATCGTCCTCGGGGCCTCCTGGGTGACTACATGAGTCTACTGGGGTACTCGAGGGAAATGGCAAAGGCGGCAAGTTCATGTGCTTCAGAATGGCATTGAATTGACTTTGCATCTGTTCTTGCAGCTCCGCGCGTATCTCCGCCTTAATTGATTCCTTTTCCTTCTCATCAATCCGATTTGGCGAATTAACACTTGATCTGCTTTTTGCTGATTTGGTGTATTCTGAACCCATCACCTTCTCCCACCCTAGTTGTTTCCCGCCAAAACCAATTACTCGCCCAGGGTGGTATGGTTTTTCCAAAGCTAAGGTGAAAGGATCATGTGCGATGCTTGGAGTCAGCTTGCCTTCAACCACTTCCGAAGTATGCTCGAGCTTTAACAACACATAAAAATTTATCAGATCTAAGTACAATGTACTTGACAAGGAAATATAATTAATAAGTAGAAAAATTTGCTTACAAGTGCATCTGCTACTACTTTCTTATCCGGTTGCATGACATACTTGCCGGTTTCCTTGTCCAACCCATGCATAGCACACCACCAGTCAATTGCACGAGTAACCAAAGTTGTCACCGAGGAAGAAAGTGGTTTATCAGTTGATGATGACATTATGGATTTGGGGTATAGACCCGCTTTGACCCACTTTGGTCTTGACTCCGCAAAGGTCTTACAACCCATATGATGATTATACAATTTCTTTCCCGCATTTATTCTAGCTTGTTCGGTTTTTTCCTACACATTCAGATATATATGTTAGCATCAGTCATTTTAAGAAACTAAATATGAGTAGCCGACTCTATTGTTAAATAAAAACATACAAGTGCGGTCCTAGTGGAAGATTTTTCCACAAACTTCTCCCAATCATCCACCGTTATTTGTGGATATAAATCCCACGGTTTCTTATCAGGTTTCTCTTCTTCTCCATCTGCAGGCACATTTTTCTTTGGTCTTCTCTTTCTTCTCTTATGGATCCATCTCGTCCTCAAGTAACTCTTGAAGTTTTTGAATCTCTCTTGTACAAAAGATTCAAACACTTTTCTCTTGGTCGGCTCGTCAGGAATATGGAACATACTCTGTAATTGGCGCAAACATCCACGTTAGGCAAGACAAAAAAACATGCAAAAAAAAAGGAAAAAAAAAACCCGAGAATCGGGCAAGGCACCTGCCGAGGCAGCTGCAGCAGCTAGCCCAGGTTGCTGCCAAGGCAACTGCAGCACCCAAGCAGCAGCCCAGGCAGCTACAGCAGCCCAGGCAGCTACAGCACCCAGGCAGCAGCCCAGGCAGCTGCAGCACCAAGGAAGCAGCCCCGGGCAGCTGCCAGCTGTAGTCCTCGGGTTAGGCCCGGGGGTTGTTTTTGCAAGTATTTTTTTTAATATATATGAATTTAAAAAAAAAGTTTGATTGCATTAAATAAATACTTACCATAGTATCGTCCCAAAATGTTTGAAGCAACCCGTGAGGTATCTCGGCAAACTCAACTGTGATTGGTATTTTACGAGTTAGAATGCCAACTTGACTAGAAAATTTGTCGCGCCATTGGCCAGTAGGTTGACCTAACTCATCAAACTCAAGCACCATAGGAACGCCGGGTTTCTTGAAAGCTTTAGTTGCACCCTTACTTTTTCTGTTCACCGGTGGCTTTACCCCTCCTCCACCACCGGTTTTTTTTCACTTGCCTTTGCATTTGAGTTTCACAATGTGAATCACCTACAACTTCGGTAACCACATTATCATTAATAGGTGGGGCAGTTTCAGCTATACGCTCAAATTCATCAAGCTTATGTTGGAACTGGTCATAAGCTTGGTCTTTCGGTTCCCCCATATATGTCTCCTTATTAACATCATACAACTCGTCCCCAGAATCATCATCTATATCCTTATCAGAATGAAGGTTCTCATCAGGATCCATGATATGTGCACACCTACAGTAAACAAGCAAAGCATGTTGTTAGTCATCAGTAATGGCAATCAATTCTGAGGCACGATGAAAGACAAACACTTACCCAACTTCTTTGGTTTCATAACAAATTCACATATAATCCTCTAAACAATTCATGTATTTAGTGAATATTACATGCTTATACGTTGAAAATACAAAAAAAATAAAACACTTCCCGAAATAAAAACAAACTTGTTGGAGTATAAGATATTTAGTAAATGAAACATGCATTAATAAAGTACCTCATTCGAGTATTCCCTCATTGTGGTCAGATCGAATATAAGTAGCATCATCATCTACATCAGTTGCTACATCAAGTGTAGGAGCAGTGAAAGGGGGAGAATCATCAAATGCATCATATTCTTCCTCGTCCTCAACCTCTCCAACCCCTAAAATTCTCCTTTTGCCAGATAGGACGATGGACCATCTTGGATCGTACGGGTCAGTTACATAGAACACTTGCTTAGCTTGAGATGCAAGGATGAATGGTTCAAGACTATCCCGCAAGTGGCCAAGATCTACAAGAGTGAAGTCATCATTTCTCACGTTGCGCCTATTATTATCGACCCATTTACACTTGAATATACCAACCTTGAAGTCACGGTAATCTAGTTCCCATATTTCCTGAATTCGTCCATAGTATGATAATAGTGCGTCAACTGGTGATGTATCCTTCGCACTGGCAAACTCTCTTGATGAAGCCACAAGAGTGACACCACTATTTTGAGTCGATGAGTATTTCTGATCCCGACTTTCAGTCCAAAATGTGTACCCATTTATATCATATCCCTCAAATGAATGAACATCTTCCTTCGGACGATAAGCTAGCCACTTTATTGTATCAGACACAGTCTCATCCAATTGACGCATCACACGATCATGGAACCACTTCACAAACATCTTATTATGCAACAGCATTAGTGCTCTTTCCCCTTTTGATGGATATTCAACACGCAAACTATCCATGTGCTCTTCTAAATATGGGTGAACCTCCGCAATATGATGAAGCACAAATAAGTGAGCTTGCATGATTTGATCTCGAGCAGCCCAGATCCTTTTTGACCCGATTGTGCCATGACCATCAAGTCTCCCTTCATGTCGGGATGTAGGAAGCCAAATAGGTTCGGCAACGGCAACATACTCTGCCACGAAATTCCCAATCTCCTCGGACACAATTCCTTGTATTATACTGCCTTCCGGGTGGGCTGGATTTCTTACTTTATCTTGCAGTGTACCCATGTGTCGTTCAAAAGGGTAGCACCACCTCATAAATACTGGACCACACAACTTAATCTCACGAACCAAATGCAGAATCAAATGCACCATTATATCAAAAAGTGAAGGTGGGAAAAACATCTCAAATTTGCACAAAGTTACCACAACAGTCGCCTGGAGAGCATCAATTGTAAAGGGATCAAGAACTTTGCTGCAGATAGTATTGAAAAACCCACAGAGGCTTGTTATAACTTCTCTCACGTGCTTTGGTAAAATTCCACGAAGTGCAATCGGTAGGAAAACTTGCATCATCATGTGACAATCATGGGATTTCATACTTGTCAACTTCAATTCTCCATTTAAGGAAACAAACCTTTTCATGTTTGACGAGAACCCAGAAGGAAGCTTAATGTCATACAAACAAGCACAAAACCTCCGTTTTTCTTCCTTTGATAATGTGTAGCAAGCTGGAGGTAAATACACCTTTTGGTTTTTTCCTTTTCCATCACCTTTCTTCTTTGCGATACCCGTGGCCTTGTCCTTGCGCTTCCCCTTACGGTTTTGACCACCATCTTCGTTTCCCTTTTCCTTAACCTTCTCCATCTCCACCTTAGCTTGAACCCACAACTCCGGACGAACACCCCACTCTTGCAAATCTAACCGCGCATTCTTGCCATCCTTCGTTTTTCCAGGAATGTTCATAATTGTCCCCAGAATTGCATCACAAACATTCTTCTCTATATGCATCACATCGAGACAATGTCTAACATCATGTTCTTTCCAGTACTCAAGCTTCCAA